CCAGGTCTTCGAAGGGCTATGCGGAAGCCGCATGGTCGTATTCGTAATCAGCATGGTCGATAACCTATAACCCACTAGATTCCGAGCAAAAAGCGTTTAATCACTTCGTGGGGTTCCCTCGTTAGTACAAACAAGGTTGAATAAAAACAAGATTTTTGTCTAAACGAATGAGCTGGAACTCTTCTCAGTGAGTGAAATATGGAGTAGAGCATATACAGACAGAGTTAGATCTTGTTGTGAACAAATTATGTCTTGCTTTATTTCAGAACCCTGACTGATCCTTCTTAATTGGATCTGTCAGTCTTATCTATTATAGCGCCTGTTACTAGAGTCATCTATTATTCGCGTTCACAATAATATACTTTTTAACCAATAGCTTATTTTACCTGTGCTGTAGGGGTGTTATCGACCTGTAGAATAAGTGGCCCAGGATAAGACTACTGACACTAACCGTCTTTGTGAAACTATAGACTTGACCAATCAAAAAGCGTCAGTACAGCGTCAGTGTTAGTGGTTTTACCCTGGGACAGAATAAGTAGCTTACCCTAATATCAACGTGACTTAACATTCTCGTAACGTTGCACCCTAATAGAACCTTCTGAGTTCCAGTACTTATGAAAATCTTTTATTCACATCCTAATAGTATTAATCTTCTTTTTACTAGAAATTGAAAAAGAGATATGGCCATATCTAATATATATTTTTAGTCTTTCACGTCGAGAAACAGTAACCACATCTGATTCGCTCTGTCAGCTTCATTGAATTATTTATATATGTGTGAACAGTGTTTCTAATGAGAATTTTAAGCAAAGTGATTTCCCAGAGTTTACCGCTGCATTTTCCAAGTTTTCCCTGCTAAAAACAGAGTAGAAATCGAATTTTCAAGGTGGAAAACCACTTTGTTCTCACGGGGACCACCATTCATTAGAAACACTGTGTATAAATTCGATTTCATTGTTTCCTTTTAGCTGCAAATAGTAGTTCAAGAAGCCAGTATCAATGCGAACTGATCCTCGTAGATAGTCTCTCCGCGGAGCTGCTATTTGGAGCTAAAAGGAAACAACGGCTCGATTTATAGGTAATGTAACTAATGGAGCAGATGAGTGTAAAATGATCGAACTTGATTTATATTATAAGTTGAATCTATATGAGATGGCGATAAAGTGAGCCGAGATGTTGTATACGAACGTGGTATAACGCTGCTGAATTTGATTGCAGACTACAGATGTAGTTTGTCATGACCACTCATCAAAACACTTCTGATTCACAAGTTTCCTACAATCCATATTCGCTAATTCACTGTAAGAAATAAGGTCAAGATAAACTTCGAGTAAGCGCCACTATCAACGTGATTTACGTTGACACAGGCGCTTAATGGAAGCTTATCTTGACCGTAAGAGAAGCTACTTTATAAAGTTAAATACACTCTTCACCCCTTTTGCTGGTCGTAGTGTTTGGTAATGTAGACTGTAAGCTTTAAAAGGACGAACTCAGGCTTCCCTTCGAGCTACCTTAAGTTGGGCCTGTAATTTAGATCTAACTTAAACAATATGGGTGAAACAGTCCTATAAAGCAAGATAAATGAAGATTATCTTGACCAAAATAAATAGATAGATGAAATCAGTTATTTTTTTAATCAGTCTTTTGCCATCAGCGCGTAGAATCTACACTAACAATGCTCATATTGTCAACATTGTTTGTATCATGCTGTTGCTTTACTACACTAATTCGTCTCTTAATGTTTTATAAAGAGCATGTTACGTTTGGCAACAAAATTTGTGTGGCCCGGAGGCAAGAGCGTTACATTTCACGCACTGCGAGCTCTTGGTAAGAGTACTACTGTCTAGCATAGTACTGTTGTAATTACTATGTTCTTTCTTTCAGCATCGATGCCAATCAAAATGCCTTCTCTTTCTCCAACCATGACTGAAGGAACAATCATTAAATGGCTCAAAAAAGAAGGTACGTGCTGCTATATTTTCAATTGTTACTGACAAATTTTCTCTTTTTACGCCTTATTTCAAGGTGAGGAGATAAATGCAGGTGATGCTCTATGCGAAATTCAAACAGATAAAGCAACAATGACTCTGGACACAGAAGATGAAGGAATTCTTGCTAAAATAGTGGTATGTGTCTGACGAAAGCATTTTTGCAAAGATGAGTCTGTTTATATCTAGTAATAAAATTGTTTCATACTTTTCAACATCTTTTTTTGTAATTTTAGAAAGGTGATAATTCTACTGATGTTAAAGTTGGTGCGTTGATTGCTATGACATGCGATAAGAATGAAGATTGGAAAAATGTCAAAGTACCAGAATCTGAAGTTGAAGCAGTGTCAGAAACAAAGCCTAAACTAGAACAGAAGGATGATAAGCAACAATCACAAAAAGAAAAACAAAATCAGTCTGTAGAGAAACAAAGTAAAGGGCCAGAAGAACAACAAAGAACAGAAGCTTTGTATGTATAACATTCTTATAATTCTCGGATTTTTTAACAAGTATTTGAATTTTAGTCATGCAATAGGACCAGCTGCTCGAACATTAATCGAGCAATATGGAATCGATCCATCAGAAGTGCAAGGAACAGGCCCAAAAGGAGTCGTTATGAAAAGGTAATATCTACTTCTCTTGTATAGTACTAATTTTAAAAATAAATATTTCGATGAAGAAAGCTGTAATTATTAGCAATGAGAGAAAAAGATGTAAAGTAGACAGTGTTACTCTTTCTGTATTGCTATTCACTGTCATCTCCAAAGATTTGTTTTTAGTAGGTTTCTCTTTGTGTCATTTCGATTATTTGTATTTTTTAGCGATGTACAAAAATATATTGATTCTAAACAACTGAAAGTCAAATCTCGTACTCAGCAAGACGAAAAGCAACAAAAGCCAGAAGAAAAAAAGAAACCTGTTGAACAAGTAACCCAAAAACAAAAACCACCTAGTTCATCAACATCTCAAGGGCGTCGTTATCACGATGTTGAATTATCGTCAATTCGTAAAGCAATTGCAAAACGTTTGACTTATTCGAAAACTTCTATACCTCATCAGTATGCTAGTATATCATCAAATGTCGATCGTGTATTACAATTACGAAAACAGATGATCGCCGATCCAAAAGCAGTGACAAAAGTATCCGTCAATGATTTTATCATCAAAGCAGTGGCATATGCATTAAGAGTAAGTTAAAGGAAAGCTTTTTTTACGACAAGACATCTAGTAATTTGAGAATGTTTTGTCGATTAAAATGTGTAACTGTTTCAGTCTGTCACTTTACATTTTATCAGTATCACTTAAACTTTAGACAAAACGAGAAAAGGAATCTTTCGTTTTAGCAAGTTCCACAAATGAATGGTACATACGAAAATGATAACTTAAAACTACATTCTACCGTTGATATTTCGGTTGCCGTTGCTACTGACGCTGGTCTTATAACACCTATTGTTCAGAATGCCGATCGGCTCACACTCAATGACATTAATCTTAATGTAAAAAGTCTGGCTGCTAAAGCACGCGATGGCAAATTGAAACCGCATGAATTTCAAGGTGGAACATTTACAATATCGAATTTGGGAATGTTTGGCATATCACATTTTTCAGCTGTTATTAATCCACCACAATTAGGTATTTTAGCTATTGGTAAAAATGATCTGCAATTAAATGAACAATTAAAATCCGCAAATAAAATGAAAGTAACTTTATCGTATGATGCTCGAGTTTGTGATCCAATAACAACTGCTCTCTTCTTACAAGCATTTCAGTCTTATATAGAACATCCAGAAATGTTAACAAGAGGACAAGGAAAAACACAAACAATTTTTGATTTTTGATCGTGTCTTAAGCGTGTGAACATCGACAAAGTACATTAAACGGATCAATCATTTTTTTTACTTCTTATTTATCTGTAATAGAACATTTAATATTTTTTTTTGAAAAGTTTGCTCTAGTCATACACATAGTTTTTCATTGCAATCTGTAAAAGCTTTTTCTTAAATTTTTAGAATCTATTACTTCATAATGTATCGTTTTAAGAAAAAGATAATTCCTATTGTTTATTGGCATATACAGAGACTTGCTCTAAAGGCCAATGTGCTCCAGGAAACGAACCATATCCCTTAGCTTTTTCTTGTTTTTTCTCCAGAAATATATTTTTTGTTGTGTAAGAAAAAAAACAGATGGATTCTTCCATTTTATTTCTCAACAAATGATTTCTTTTTTTTAGTCTGTATTTATTTTCTCGTTTTTGGTGTAGATGAATACCAGTAGTTATATATTTTTTCTTTTGTAATGCTCACATACTTTTCATAGTATAATTATTTTATAATGCATCTTTCTTTTTTTTGATCTTATTGTTTGTTTTTTCTGGATAAACATTTTTCTGTAACGTCTTGTTCTATGTTTTTTTAGATTTGATTCAATATAGTGTGTGTGAAGTAAATAAAATGCAGTTTGATATTAGAAGGTAGGTCTAAATAAGTAATTCTTAGAAAAAAAAATTAGTTTTCTGTAATCTATTTCTCTTGTTTAGGTTTGACATTTATCGTAAAGTGCCAAAAGATTTAACTCAGCCGACAAATACTGGAGCAGCAATCTCAATATTTTGTGTTACATTTATATCAACGTTATTATTAATTGAATTATATTACTTTATTAGTCCAGATGTGTAAATTTAAAGATTTATCGGTTGATGTGACTAATTTTATTGGTGACGGTTTTATGTACAACAGCGGTCCACTATCGTTTGCATGGCTTAGCGAATGCATGAAATAAAATTGTGGTTTTATACAGCGCCTGTTAGATCCTCAACTCTGAATAGAAATTAGAAAAAGAACCGTAGTGTTCCAATTGATTGTCCACATGCATAATTACAGAAGTGTGAGTGCTTAGCGTAAGACCAATTTTTTCTGTCAACTGTAAGTTAAATATCGAAGACAATCATATTTGATACAGAATTCTGGAAATTTCGAATTTTGGTCAGTTAACGTAAACAACTGTGTGGGAACTAAATACTTTTAGAAAAAATATTTTCTTTCTTGAATTCTTTAAATTCGTTCGCTATGCCATTCAAAGAGTATTGAGCCAGGTCTCTTTATGCGACTTTTTAACATCATATTAAACAAGGGTTTTTAAGAACTTTTATAAATTTTAAGTCGTATTTACCTTGTCATTGTTATTGTACTTCTAGTGTGAATGAGTTATTTGTTGAAACAGGATATGCAATTCAAACTGGTAACCGAATACCTGTTCATTTGGATGTTAGTGTACTGAACATAAATTGCAAATGTACATATGTGTTATATTTTTGTTTATACAACATGAATATTGTTTTTTTTATTTTAGATCTTGGAATTGATATACAGGATGATCTGGGGCGCCATGAAGTTGGTCTTTTGGATCATATAGTAAAAACACCTGAAAATGATGGACAAGGATGTCGAATAGTCGCCTCATTCAGAATAACTAAAGTAAAATTCCATTAATTTATTAATCTAACGCTCACGATTTACTTCTAAATTATTAAGGTTCCTGGTAATTTTCATATATCGACTCACAGGGCATCACCACAACCTGATCACAGTGATATGAAACATGTAATACATGAATTGAATTTTGGTGATTCTATCAAAGTAAGTGGTAGACCGAGTATCTATAGTAAGAATCAAATTCTTTATCATTACATTTATTAGGGTTTTCGTCGTATACCGAATAGGAAAGCATTCCATCCATTACGTCGTTATAATAATACACTTCGACCAAGTATATTAATTTTCCATTTTTCTCAGTTTTATTTTAACATTTTTCACATATGTCACAGGTCATGTATCTCACGACTATTTGTTGAAAATTGTGCCAACGATTTATGAGAATTTAGCTGGAACACGAAGACGTCCTTATCAATTTACATTTGTTTATCGAGTATGTTTTTTCTGATGATGAGTTTACACAAAGATACCATTTTAACTAGATCTCTCCAGCTGCTTGAAGGAAATGAAGAAACTAGACATTATAATTGTATCAGGCGGAGAAAGTGATAATCAGATAGATAAATAATCTTATTGCAGTTGTACTAACTTTTTTCTGTTTAGGAGCATAATCCTACGCATGCCCATGGTGTGAATGTACTTCCAGTCATATGGTTTCGTTGCGATACGATACCAATTACAGTTAAATATACCGAACGTAGACCAAAACTTTATACATTTATTACATCGGTAAGACATGATAGCATATGGAAGACTGTAAACGTCTAATATATTCTCTCGTTACCGTTTCAGATTTGTGCTGTTGTTGGTGGAACCTTTACTGTTGCATCGATTCTCGATTCTTTAATATTGAGTGCTAGTGCATTACTTAAAAAAATTGAATTAGGAAAAATGACATAGTTGCATTTAGATTAGTTTTATTGTCAAGATTTTATTATAAAAATCACCGACTTTTGAGTGAAGTACATGTCTCCGATTGATCTTTTTTTTCATTTTTTATTAATAAAAAAAAATGTATGACAAATAATTATTCTCACAATGTTATTCCGCCATTTTTGTTTTTGTTATTTATTTTATTGTTAAAATTTCTTTTTATTATTATTGTTTTCTTTTAATTTAGTTGAGTTTACCTAACCAGTGAAAATATTTACTTTTTTTATTTTTGTTATTTATTTTATCGTTAAAATTTGTTCTTTTTGTTATTACTGTCTTCTTCTTTTACTTTAGTTGAATTTATCTAACTTGTGACGATGTTTGCTGTTTTTAGTTTTGGCTATTTATTTATTTTTGTATTTTTCAATTTCAACATGAAAATGGACCACCGAATAATGTGAAATCAATACAACTTTCATCGATTATTATAAAAACTATAAGACCAAAATTGATCTGTATGAGAGAGAGTTTCACCTAGTTTTTGCGTTTTTCTATTCAGAATAAAAACAAATCTTTAGGTCGACTTTCGGACCATATATATGTCGATGTCGATAATTCAGGAAGTGAAAATCATATATGTTCTTCTTCATTGTCCCATTGGTTTCTGTCTTTCAGATCTTTTCTCGTGACAAATTAACGCCTGTATTCTATTACACATACGCACCTAGTCTAAAGTCATTAGTCATGTCATCAGCTCAAGCGAAACAGGATCTATCTTCTACAAGTGCTGATAAGCAAACAAATAATGTCGGTTTTAGTGATTTGGATACGAAAAGTCCAATAGCTGAACCACAAAAACAAGATCCAACAGTTCCTATTGATGAAAAAGCTGGAAAACAAGCCAAAAAACAAGATGAACCGCTTAAATAAAACAAAAGCATGATTTTATCTTGAACATTAAAATTTTGTACCAAACATATTAGTAAAGAGTTATTTAGGTAGTTACGCAATTGTGATGCTGTCACTGTGATAGTAGAAAACTTTTCTAATATCTATGACAGAGTTTTTGTGAATCTTTCCAGATATCTATTCATGTAGTTTTTTTCCATTTTTTTTGTTTTTCTGATTATTTCAAAAGTAGGGGATATTTTCTTTGTAAGGTTTATTTTGGGTTCAGTTGGTTATTGTCTTCGTAGATGTTAAATAAATCACGGTGGAAAGAAATGACTGAGTACACAATATTAGACAAATGAACGCTAAAAGAAAAATAAATGTTATTCGTACACCACGAGTTTTAGACTATTTTTCTTGATAAAACAGATGAGCGTCAGATCGAAGATGTAACCGCTCCAAAATTTTCAAAGAGTAACGTTACCGTTATGAACATCGTGCTACAACAGAATGACCGGTTTTTTTTTGTCATCTCGTTTCACTTCTTTTACGCTCGTATGATACCAAGCAGAAAACTTTGAGCATCAAATACTCAGACCTTTTAAATATGTCTGAGTATTCGAACCGTGATTCGAGCAAATCTGTATGCTCAGTTCGAGTATTTGAATATATGTTAAAGTCCTCGAGCAACCGAAGTATTAATTCGGTAGTCGAGCCTTGTATAATAGCTTGGATATGTAGCAATTTATTAGAATCTCGTGACATGTAATTATAGTTTTGTTTGTAGGAAATAGTTGGTGAAAAAAAGCAGAAAAGATGAAAAATATCAACAGAAAAACTCTTTTTTTGGTTTTTGATAGTGAGAGACTAAAGACTTTGTGTAAAAGTATTTGAAAATGACACTGATGCAAAAATTTGTTTAAAATGACCATTCTACCAGCTGCTCGAAAAGTCTTACCGAAACTGAACGTCTTGGCAGTTCACCGTTATTGATTACAACTCTGGAACAAATAGTTATTTGGGCATTAATGTTTTAAACAGATAAAGTGATAAGATATGTGGAGCAGTTGAAGATAACTGGACGTAAGTCCGAAACGGCGTTTATTGACATTTTCGGAAAACCCTCGCAAATAATCAACGATATGTTTATTGAATATGCAGTTAATTAAATCAACAAAACCCACATGATGACCGCAGCTTTAGAAACAAACAGTGTTCAAGTAAGTATAAATATGACAAAAAGAACAACGTTTATCTATTTCTGTAAGTCTATATTAATGTAGATTATTTTTGAATTAATAAGCTAATCGCACAATGAAATATGTTATGATTGAATCTCAGTTAAACAGTCTGAATCTCAAAATTAATCGTTAGTCATTTATCTTTCTGGACGATTGGACAAGTCGAAGAAACATCTTTCTGAGAATTTTTCTGTCAAAAAAAATGTTCTGAAAAATGTTTGAAAGAAAACGTAATTTTATAACATTACAATATTTTGCATTCTCAGAATGCAAAATAGGCGGTACGAGGGAAGAGGGGAAGTCTGTCATTTGTTCCACTGGACAGAGTACGCTGAAAAGGAAAACGGAACAGTGGACAGTTTATCACACAGCACTCTGCCAATGACAACTATAAAATGGTCTCGAACCCGTTACTCAATGATATTTACCATTGCTTCAGGCAACTTCATCATTAACAGAGCGTTCTGAGACACTGTAACAACAATAGCCCTATATTAGTCTGACAGGATCGGCAGCACTGGGAGTTTTCGTTATTATTAACACCATAGAAAATAATGTTGATTCAGATGTTTTTCGATTTCATTTTCATCCTTTGAAACCAAATTCATAATCTACAACAAACCACGTCTAAATATGTGCGATCCCATCATTATAACAGAGAAAATCAGTTGACTATATACCAGCTATTACAAAGAGGACAATTTTGGCTGATGGTGCGTAATCCTCCTCCCATAACAGAAGACCACTATTCATTGGGTAACATGAAAGCCAAATAGAAGGCTGTAGTCGTCTATTCGGAAAGATACACGTATTATAGACGTTTTTTTAAAAAAAGGATGAGAAACGGAAGAATTAAACAAATTATGTCAGTGAACACTGCTCATTTGAACAAGAGTCGTATGATAAAGCGCATGCGTGTATACAAATTTAGTAAGATTCGGCAACAATACTGATTTTAGTCTAATATGCACTTTTTACCATAACTAGCAAGCGAAAAAAGGTTACCATAATTAATGAACACATTTTAGAGTTCGAATTTGCTGGATAAAATAGAAGACCAGATAATCTTCTATAAGGAAAGGAGGTATAGTACAATTGGTTCTAGTATAAACCTTTTTTCATGGACTACTATCTTTCTCCAGCACTTACAATATCTTTTTAACGTAAAATGATTCTCTAGAGAACAACATTTTTAAAAAACGTAGGATACAAGAAAAAATTTTTGAACGAAAGTTTCCTCCTAAAACTTGTTGTTTTACAAATGGTTCGATTACAGTTTTATGTAATGGTTACGAATCTCGCGTTGATGTTTTTGGAATAAGTTTCTAGTGAGATTCCAAAATTACCTGTAAAGTCTAGAATTTTGGGCTATTATTTGTTTCAAAGCGACATGGAAATTAACTAAGCAAATTTTCAGCACAATCAGTAATTAACGTATTAGACCAATACAAATCGTTGAGTGAATAAATACATTCACCGATACAAGAAAACATATAAACCTAAACACATCCGCTCAAACACTGATAGGGGAACACATAACATTCACTGTAGATTATATAACATTGAAAGACTATACCTCATGCAGCAACTTTCCTTTCTGAATACATTCACAGTGGACACTTTACTACTGAACACCTTAGATTTAGATAAAGAGACATTAACATGCTTACTAGATGCGGTCATTACATATATTCAGCAAACGAACAGGTTTAAATAACTAGCAGCGCAGTATTACTCGTTCTCTCTTATGACGTCCATGCTCCCCTCACCCCCAGGCCTGTCTACCTCTGTCTTTCTCTTCGGTGTTCTATTTTTATTTTTTGTCACTATGATCACCAACTGTTTTCATCTCTGTTATTGCTAGGTCTACAATGGTTATTTAACTGCTGCCCTTTTTTATTAGGAATCAATGAAGACATAAACCAACACATAACATATGTGTTGTATCATTCTTTCAAATATATCGAATTCTGACAAACTCAACAACTAGACAAGAATAATACATAACCAACTCTAAAAAAACGAAATATGATACATCGAACTACAATGCGCCTAAACAGTCTGTTATCAATTATTAATTACGTATTCAATTTGCATAAAACGAGTATACGTTTTTCAATATCGTGAAAGATGTTCTATATCGAATTTACTAGTTCACCAAACTTTAAACCATTAAACAGCCTCGATTCAGTATCGAATTACTACAGTAATTATACATATATGTATATACACTCAACTTTGACTCAACATTAAAAAGAAGGTAAAACGATATCATATATCACCTTTTCTCACCTAAAAATCTAAGCTACTACTTTTTCACTCTACTCAGTAATATTTAACAACTAGTTTTTAAATTGTTTAAATAAAAGATATACGTAAGTGGAAATTGCACAATCAGTTGAAAGTCGGTAAGTATATATCTATAACTATCTATATAGAACTACCCAAAAATAAAAAGAGTAATTAAAAATTTCAATGATTTGGTTGATCACTATTGGTTGGTCTGATACATCGTTTGTAGATTTTCTAGTTCGCTGTGAAAACAATAAATCGTATACAAAACTCGATATATATCGCTGGTTTTTCTCACACATCAATGATAAAATTTTACAATTTGACTATTCATCATTAGACAATATCGAAGGTGATCTTGATCTATCACAACTGTTTAATTTAACTATTGAACATGAAAATTTAAATATTTTTGAATACAAGAATTTTTTGGATTTATCGTTAACAGAAATTGAACAATTTATGAGAGAAAATGGTGAGAATCATGGAATGATGGTGACAGTGGAACAAGCTCTAGTACAAAACTATGAAATTATTAACGTCGAAGAGAGTTGTATCAACACTGTTTGGAAGATAACATATCATCCACGTTTATTGATTTGTGCACAATTGAACGATAAAAATAATTTATATGATATTCAGTTACTGAGACCCAATTATCTTTGGCAAATTCGTGCAGTAAGTGAAAAACAAGTTTATCGGTATTTATTCAATCATTTGGAACAATTTCATTTGGAGAAACTTCCAAAATTAATGGGTAAAAATCAACATGAATTATTAGAAATGATTGAGTCACCCGATTACCAACTTCAGAGTGAAATGATTAATACTCAATGTTGCAATATAAAAAGTGAACATATTCATGATAAAAGTACACAAGACGAACGTTTTGCAATATTAATTGAACCGGCACTTAATCTATTGGATATTATCGATATGTAATAATGCCATCATTTTAGAGATAATACATCCACTTGTACGTTCACTGTAAAGCGCATCTCCGATGTAACAGCCACAAATATTGATTGGTATATAATCAATTTATACCATTTTCTGTTTTACATACTCTTTTCTTCATAACTATAACTGATCTACAAACAATAAACTATTGTGCCATCATAATCTCTTTGATGTATGTCCAATGTCAATGATGGTAAGAGATTTTTAAAAAAACTAGAATAAAGAGTCATTTTTCAATAAACACTACAAAAATTTGTTTGACAATAGAAACATATATAAAAAAATGGAGAAACATTCTCATGCAATGCAATATACAGCTAAAAGCTGTTTACTGTACACCGGATTGTAGATTACCTTATGACTCATCCACAGGAACAAGGACCATAAAAGTGCAGAAGAATGTAATTACCATCCATCTCCTCTTTTGATGAAGAAATTTAAACTTTGGCAAACTGCCTTTTTTTACTACAGTGCACTAAAAGGCAACATGTGTATATATAGTAAAAGAAAACTCAACGACTTTACGGTAAGAAATCGTTGGAATTCACCGAGAAATTCATTGAGATCCAGCTCAACCGTTTTGTACAATGTTTACATTGGTTTCTCGTTGCTATAGCTCGATGCAAGTTGATAAGATGAGCTTTTTGCTATAGATGTGATCAGTGTCTTCGGTCCGTCTAGTTTGACAGTTGTTGGTAATGGTGACGGTGGTGGAGCGGTAGACACTGATACTTCTTGTTTAACTAATCTTGCTAATAGTGTTGGACGTTTAAAACACTGACATTGAAATAATTTCAAAAATTCACGACGAAAATCTGAACCACTTAGGGTATACAAAATAAAATTAATGGCATGTTTTGTATACCATAGACTTTCGAGTATATCAACAGTTAACAATTTTATGGCAGGCATCATTTTTTGCGTTGAACCACCACTGTACATTATTTTATTGACACAAATGTAGATAACAGATGGACATGTCAGGCATAGAAATGCACAGGTGACGGACAGCAACATTACGGTTAAACGTTGATGTCTGCGATGTGACCGTTTTCTTATAATTCCACCACGTTGTAATGCTTTGTTTGTTGTCATCGTAAATATAATAATACCAATGTTTGAGCAACATAACAGGAGTAATGGAATAACAGCTACGAGTAAAATATCAAATATAGGGATGTAGAGACGAAAAAAATGATCAAAATTTTCACGAGCAATACAAACGAAACGTGTATCATTTTTACGTGGTACGATTAGTTGCGGTAACGGTGAAGGTGAAGAAAGATCTTCACGTGAACTGGAATCTAATAACGTTAAGGATAATGAATTGGTAGTCATATTTAGTAGGTTAAGTTTAGACCGGTCAGTTTGTGGAAATGTCATCATTGTACCTGAAATAGTGGAAAAACATAAACGTTAAAGATAATAAATTAAGATTCTAACGATGTAAAAATTCCAAACTTCACTTTTACGACGCGAAAAAAATTTCACTTTTACGACGTGAGTTCGAAAATTCGAACATATGAAATTAGTTTTGCACTAAACTACAAAATTAAATTAATAATGCCTTTTTTTCTGACTTTGTGTCGTTTTTTGCGCACTATGCAGTATACCGTGCAGCACATTGCTCAAGTTCAAATCATTCCGAACAGAAGAAAGGTACTCTGAGAAGGAAAGTGGATTAGCTGACATAGAACTACCACACTATTATTTTTTTTTCTATTAGAATTTTCTCTTAGTTTGTGAGCATCACATCACATGCCGCGTCTATTCTTCTTTATTTCCCGCACACACATCGAAAAACAAAGTCCTCGTAGGTAGCAAATATACTTAGAGTTCTTTCTTTTTTTGTGCGTTTATTTTCGGCAATATCTGCTGTCTCTATATCATGAAACAAGGAACTGAAAATGTTTACGATGAAAAATATCTTACCTAGTATAAAAAAATAGTGTCCATTAAATAAGCAAACAACAATTATCAAAATTATTGTGGATAACACGACTCTACAATCAACCGATCGTCTGCGATATCGATTTGTAATAATAAAATATCGATCAAAACTAACAATAACCAATATCCATGAAGCAATGTGAGATAGAGCTGAACTGAAAAAGATAAATATTCGACATATCCATTTCGATGTATTTCGTAAATCAACGTTAAAAAAGTATCGATATAAATAACGTGATGATCTAGTATAAATAAATAAAATATCAATAACGGCCAACACGGCTAAATATTGACAGGTAGAATTTTTCAAAAATTTTTTTCGCAATAATATTTTCAAACATAAAACGTTTCCAACAGTACCCCATACAATAAGAAATGGATAATAATATCGTGTAAGTAATAGTCGAAGTTCTGCTGCTGAATCATCATTTGATTGGATATGACGCCCAGCGGTGTTTCCTGACGTTGAAAATGAGCCAATAGATGTGCTGCTACTGTTCATTATCGATCGTTTTAACGTTCATTAACATTAAACAGAATAATATGAAGAAATAATATTTATTCTAGAAATAATAAGAAAAGATGTATTGTGTTGTATTCATAATAAAGTCACGTATTTATTTAGTTCTATTGAGATTCAAAATGCGATGATAATGACAAGGAAGACGTCTCTCTTAGATCAATTGTATGCGCATAGATAGTCTCGTGGGTAAGAGGAAAAAGAAAATTTGTCGTTTTTATTCTTTGATTAGATATAGTTTTTGTCATCTTTAACTGAGCTATAGAGTTCTTTTGTTTATTAATCAATAAAGAGCCTTGAATTCATTTGTTATTATCACGTTTTCCAGCTTACTAAGTTGAAAATCCGTCTACTCGGAATAGACGATTTTAACACAATTCACAAGGAAGATAAAAGATTGTGTGTTGAAGCGATTTCTTCCACTTAGGATATATCATCGGTTACTCTTGCAATACATGATTGAAAACGTCGAACAATGGTTTGATGTGAGAATATGTAAAAAATACGACCATCTCTGAGAAATGAAAGAGAACTTTGAACATAAAATGACAAGAAATTGACTTATACTATTTGCAAAAATTCATCACAAGGGGATGATACCAATCAACTAACTCGAACATACATCACACCATGTCCGAAGCCAGTATTTTGCTAACGGGGGTGCACTATAGATGTAAATCAATATATCGATTTTGTATTTTTTTTTTTTTTTTTTGTTGTTGTACCGGTTCGGATTCCGATATACCCGTCTGTGCGACAGAGACCGATCCAGAAAACTAACATGACACAAAAGGGCCTTCACACCGGTTTGAAGGATGAGCTGCGTATATCATCGCTCACAGTGTCAGAAGTTGACAACTACTCGGTCTAAGCAGATTACAAGCCATCGTAAAAATTTTTTTTCAATCAGAGTTTTAGAAGCGGACAGTGTTAACCTCGCTCAAGTTTTTAATTCCCGGTGTGTTTTTCTTCTTTTGAATGTTTGTCTATTAAGTTTTATACAGGAATCAAGTGTGTAAAACAAGTTTTTTAGCCATTCAATACCATTTTGTACTCTGTATGATACAGTATGTAGAACGCCCCCCGTTGACACAATCACAAAACTTAGACAAAATATATGCGTTGGCATAGATAAGTCCTGTTACATTAAGAATAACGCGTACATTGTCAATCATTTGTATAACACAATATAAACAACCAATAATCTGATAAATTTTCTCGACAAATTCGCGATGAAATACATCATGAATAACACGTACCTTCAATTTCAGCTTTTTAGTGTCTATTTGTGAGTTTTCCCTAATACTCTCGAAATATTAAGAACAGACTTCTACATTTTCAGAGCAGAAAGCTATATTTAGATATAGACGAAAGTTCATTTTTATATTATTGTGTTACATGTCTTTAATCAAAAAATGAAACAATGCCACTTAATTTATAGAAGGATGTTCCTTAGTGTTACATTATACAAAGTTTACCCGCTGAGCATATCTCTTTTTAAGATACAAAAAATTTAAACAAATAGAAGAAATAACGCATTTTTTCGACAAAAATCTAGTAATAAACATATCTATCTTGTTTTTAAACTATATCCTTTCAGCGGTTCATCATTTATTACACAAAGAGGACAATTTTTCGTAATGAAAATTATATTTGGTACAAAAAAAAATAAGTCTCCTTTTTCAATTTTACATGTCTCAATCATTAAAATTATTATTGCCACGAATACTGGTTATTACAATTGCAGTAGGCTCATATCTATAAATCTGCGCTATTTTCACAGAAAAACATTTTTTTTTCGTTTTTGATTAATGTGCACAAAATAGCAAAATACTTAAAGGAAACAAAAAGGGTAACATTTATCATTGATTTCTATGAAAAGTGAGAAAAGTCAAAGTTAAAATAACAGTACTAACTAAACTACTAATAGACTTCAATGATTATTATTCGAGTCTAGCAAGTGAACGAAAGATCATGTTTCAATTATGGATTTAAGATAAGTGAGTTAAGAGTCTTATTCATCTTAATTTAAGCGGTTTATTTTCGTCTAATTACACTTTAACACCTGAACCCTCATTAAAACTATAATAATGAATATTTTTTGAAAATTAAAATTAAAAGAAAAATTTAGCCTCTTTCATCTCAATAGAAAACTTAATTAAGTCAAATGACATTATAATGAAAGTCATTTTACAAATAAAATAATAAACTTACCAGTGATTTGTTAATGTTTTATGTATGTATGTTAGAAGAATAATAGCAAACGATCAAGATACTTTTCTCTTTTCTGTTTCTTTTTAACAAAAATGTTGAGTTTTTTTTGTTAAAATTAATCATCCTCAATCATACTCAATGTGTTCACTTTTGCCAAAATTTGATTCGACAGGTTTGCGTTTAATTGCCAACATTTCTCAAGAGATACCTTGTATCATAAAAAAAAGAAGAAAGCCAAGGAAAAAAACCTAGAGACAAGACACATCTCGACAAATGTAAGAGAAAGTGGACGAAAAAAAAAAAAAAAAGAAAAAAATAAAACTTCGAAAGTCCATTTGTATTTACATCAAACTTTTATTGAACACACACACACACATGCACACACAAAAATAAAAGTGAAGTTTAAAATAATGTAAGAACAAAAAAAATATAATAAAAAATGAGAAAATTATTATAGTCTCTAAAACACTGATCTTCTTTTATAAAATAGACAAGACCTTTTTTTTTGAAAAAAAAAAAAAAAGAAAGAAAATAGAAAAAGTGAAAATATTCCCTTGTTATAATAAGTGATAGAACAGAAAAATCCTATACAACCACTCATTTCTTTGTCACTTCTATTCTTTATTAAATCGATTATTAATATTAATAAATTTATTTCACGACAACAAAATCATATTAACATCATTCTTTATGATGCGCGATAAAAGACAAATAGGTTCAAAAGACAAGCTACGATTACGTTTTTTCTTGTCTTTAATACAGATTGTTTGAGGCAAGAAAACAAAAAAAAAGCAGTCATTATTAGAAATTCAACATTATGCACTACACTATTCAAATCAAATTATTGAACTGAAACTACTAATTGTAAACTATTAAAAATTAAAAAATTTTTGATGTTCACACTATTTAATTTATATAGGTTTCTCTTCTAGGTTCTTCTAAACACTTTAAAAAATCTTACCTAATAGATAATAATTAATAATAAATAATTTGAGAGATACAATTATGTATGCAATAGAATTTATGCATGATTACTATTAATTCTAAAGTGTCAAGGTTGAAATTTGATGTACGAAAAGTACAAATTCTGAAGTTGTTCGTTTTTTTTTCTTCCTAAAAAAAAAGAAGACTTTTATCTCACATACCTTGCCCAGTTTCTAAAATGTTTTTAAAAAAAAAAAATCAAAAGAATAAATTGAAAAATATTCTCTTAACACAAAAAATGAATTGAAAAGTAAAGTCGATGAACACAGTATGTTGTTTATAAAGAGACAAAAAAAAAAAGAAGTACTTAACTCTCCAGTATGCTGTAGTATGTTGTAGTCTATATAGAACTACAACTTGAATAACACATTTTATTTTTTTTTTTTACTATTAATATTATAAGTATTTATGATCTATACATTTTCAACAAGAAAAGACTGTAATAAATTATTATTTAACTTTTCTTTTCAAGCATTATTCTATTTTTGTTCTATCTGTTAAAACTCAAAATTGTCATTTATTTCAAGACGAAAAAACAAAAATTAAATGAACTAAATACAGAATAATATATTCATATTTTTTAGGCAGCATTTACAACACAAATATACTGCAATTTACTGTCCAAACTAGATCAAAGTAATAGAAAAAAATATATATATATATCTTATAAGCTTTTATCATGAATTGCATGAGAAAAAAAATGTGTTTATTGTTTGCATAATTTATTCCTTGATTTCTCTATTGTTAATGTGATTTTTCTTTTTTTTTTATATTTAAGTATAAATAGTTTTTACTCACAGTTTGCATCAACACATAGTGATAATTATAGATTTTGATGATAAATGTATGAACAAACATTATGTTTTTTTTTCGATTATGGTGGGCACCTTTCACTTTTCTTCCTTTTATTTTATTTTATTTTTTCTTTTTTTACCAATTAGTTAAAGTAATTGTAATTTTCTTCTCTTTTGTTTTTTATATTTTGCTGCCGTCACACGTTCATCAAAATTTGAACTAAAGATTGTCGTTGTTTTTTTTCATCACATAAAATTCTGTTCATATCGACTGATTCAATTATAGAATAAGAGAGAGAGAGAGAGAAAGAAAGAGAAAACAAAAAGAAAAAAAGAAAGAAAATTATAGAGGATGAGAGAGAAAGAAAACGTCGTATTTATAATGCAATTCTATATCAAACAATTTCTCATACTTTTTAAAAAATAATCATTCTTCTCTTATTCAAAATATGACGATACTAAAAAATTATTGAATGTTAATTATTCTTTATAAAATATATCCACTTAAATGACATGTATACTTTAAATAAATCTTATCACATATCCTTCTAACAGTACGATATTTATTTTATAATAAAAATAAAAATTGTGTGATGTTCTTTTTTTTTTTTTTTTTTTGATGAGACTATTTTCATTTATTTTTCCTCTTTGAAAAGCAAAGAAAAAAAAACAAAAGCCGACCGATAGACAATTTCTCTGTTATCGTGTGTTTGAAGACAATCAATTTGGTTAAAACAAAAAAACCAAGAAAAAAATAATTTATTTTCGTACACTTTCTACTAAAATTGAAGAAAACATCTTTTTTAGTCACAATATATTGATTAAATCATCATTGTCTCTCTAAAGCATGTTAAAAGTTAAAAGTATTATATTATTATGACACAAAATAGATAGATAGATATAGAATGATGATTTTTTTTGTTTTTCAACGATAATATATTATGAGTACAAAATCAAAAAACTAAAAATAATAAACAACTTATTCTTAAT